TAGTCACCCTGTACATTGTACATTCTCTCTCAATGGTGGATTCTATTTTGTTTCTGTATACTTACCTTCATGGTGCAGTTTGTAAAATTTTGTTCATTCTCGAAGGGGAAAAAAGGGTGTATATAGAGTTATGTAGTTAGTTTGCAGTTTTATTTTTTTTCCCGGTGGGAAATGTTGTGATTTGTTTTAGTGTCTTAAATGACCTTCGGTATTTAATTAATACCTGTCAACCAATTTAGTTACCACCATTGGTTGGTCGATATGAGATATTGCTCAGTTGTCCTTTTAACGTTCTTAATTCACATACTTCCTTTTAATAGTTTTAGTCTTTTTAAGTTTATGTACAGTAAATGTATATAGGTTTATAGAATTAGAATAGTTTATTAAAAATGACAATTTTAGGGTTCTAATGTGTCGAAGAGAGTAGTGGAGCAGTTTCAATTCAGTGACTGGCCTGACTTTGGATGTCCCGAAGACCCAGAAGTGTTCTTGAAGTTCCTCGAGCACGTTCGCTCATTCTACCCGCACGTCGACCAGACTACTGCACCTATTATAGTCCATTGCAGGTATCCACTTCACAGTTTATGTTTAAATCTTAATAAAATCTGATAAAAAACTTTATATTTTTTTCTGCGTTTCATAATTTCAGCTACCCATTATGAAAGCTCAATCTCCCAACTATGAGGATTTAGCTTTTTTGATCTATAAAATTTTAAAATTAATTCATTACGAGACCAAACTGTGCACTAGATAGGCGCACAATTTTATGTCTGTATGTTCCTGGAATCCATAGAGAAGCCTTAAACATTTTATATCCAATTTGAAAAAAAAAACATTATACCCAATATTCGCCAATTTTAGTTGTACATTTACGTATTGTCCTGAATTACCAAACTCAATCAAATTGAGTTTGTAAAAGCATGGCTTTGAAAATCTTCATCGATTTCAATTCGAACTAATAAAAAAGTTAGATCCTTGCCCTTTACAGCGCGGGTTGTGGTCGATCTGGAACGTTTATTGCACTTGACCGAATCTTTGAAATGATTGATAAAGCCGAAACTATTGACATCAGAGGTATCGTAGCTTCCTTAAGAGCATCGCGTCCGCAAATGGTTCAAACGTTGGAGCAGTATGTATTCATACATTCTGCGGCTGAAGTTATGATAATTAAGGAACTGGCGAAGCGAAAAAAGATTGGCGATTCAAGTCCGGAGCTGAAAAAGAGCAGTCGACGCAAACGTCGTATCTCGGCTTTTTCAATCCAAAACACAGACGAAAGCACTACTGCTCCAAAAAAGAGCAACCGGGATTCGATCTATATTTCGATGCCGATTAATCTCATAGACTCTGGCGAAGACTCAAAAGACAAATAAAAATGGCAAACTTTATTGAAATACTTTATGTATCCCTATGCAGTAGCGGATTTAGGGGGGCGAAGGGATGGGGGGCTCAGGGATTTGATCCTTTGTACAATTTTGAGATATTTATTTTTGGCTGACTGACCCTAAAATTTTTCTAATGGCGCCAATATAATGGCGCGATTTTTTGGTCGAAATTTTCCAAAAACTGCCTAAAAACGCTTTTTTGGGCGTTCTTTTCAAAAAATGACTGCGGCGCGCAAAACAATGTGGTCAAAATAGGGTCTTTATAGTGGTTTGGGAGAGCTAAGAAAATCAATTTGGTCGACCTAAAAAAAAGTCGACAAATTTATAATTTTTTTTTCAAAATCCGCCCCCTCGAAAATTTCCTAGATCCGCGCCTGTCGCCATGTAATAAGTTGTTGCATGTTTGTTAAGCTTTTTCAAAGTTCTCTTTCCGTTGTTGTTGTTCAAAGAAATGTTGATTTATTGATTGTTTCTCAAAGTTTCGGTTTAAAAATGCTTTTTGGTCGAAGTTGTTTGTTTCTTTTGATTCTGATCAGAGACCGGAAAAAAGTAAGATTTTTAATTTTTTTTTGCCCTCAAGTTTTTTTAATTTACGCAAAATCATAATTTCTTGAAAATGGCAAAAAAAATCGAGATATGGAAACTGGATTTTATGGTAAAAAGTCCTGCCAAATTTGTTCATGCGCGGATAAAATGCATAAGGTCGAAATAATATTCTTTATTCTGAACCACAAACGGCGCTAGTGTCTAAAAAAAGAAATGGAAAAGAAGTGTTGGCTTAGATTTTTGTCTATGGGAATCCAAGGGAATGTCTATGGGACCAAGGGAATCCTAGCAATTATCGAGAATTTTTCCAGATAAGATCATGGGAACTTCAACTTCAATCAGCAATCAGCAACTTCAACCTTTATTTTTCTTAAGAGAGAGACTCTGAAAACGGTAGGTCGCTTTTTTCTCTGACCAATTTGAGCAGCCTGGTGCCGAGGTAAATAACATGAAACGAATAAGTTTTTGCCTTTATCCTGTTTGAAGAAAATTTTTGTTTGATAGCCTTTTTAATAGGAATGAAGGTGCAGTTTTTAACAGAGTAACAATTCCTGAAACTTTGTTTTGCAAGCTGAGTCTGAGCGAAATATCCTTTTGTGAAATAAAGTGCCGACAAAACAGATTTCTTTCAAAGTGAATGATCGAAGTAAAGTCATTTTTTAGGTCCCTGGATTGACAAAATTTTCAAATCAGTCAGTTTTAATTTATGAACAACATCTTATCCATGAAATTTATATGTCAAAAAGTACATAAAACTGAACGAAACCTGCGTGATATGCGTTTTTCATACAGGAGAATCGTATGATTTACTTTTTTCATCCAAAACACAAAATCCTTTCTTTGTTGATCAGAAATTTTCAAATTGTCAAATATTCAAGTAGACAAATAATTTGAGTAATATGTATAAAAGAAATTGAAGCTTGTATGAACTACGCACAAGAAGACAAAGGGCAAAGTGTACTTCTCCGCAATTGATAAGTGGCATCAAGTGGTAGAATTTGCAGCAAAAAAAAAGAAGCCATCAGCAAATTACGATAATTTATGGAAATCATTTTCAAAATAAATTGATTCAAGAAGACACATAAATTAAATGGCAAAACTATGGGATTCAATATGAAAAGTTTCACGGAAATTTCAAGCTAAAAATTCTGATCAATTTGGTTTGCGATAAATTTTGGCTTTTCTTAATTAGGACGAAATGTTGATTGCTAGAAATCAAATCTTCAACGTAGACAATTGCTCAACTTATTTTCTTCTAAGTTTTCACGTTCCCTTTATTTTTGTTTATGAGCAATTGAAAGTTTCAAAAAATCAACACAATTTAAAAAAATTGTGTCAATACCTGTTATCTAAACTTTTGTTTCAACTTTTGCAACGAAAGTAACGAAATATTTGTGTTCCGGGTGATTTTTTTCTTCAGACAAATTTCGACTTTTTAACTAGCCAATATCATTCAAACAGTTCGTTGAATTCTTCGAGTTTGAATAAGAACAACGAAGCATTAATAGTTAACCCATACCTAACAAATTATGAATTTTTGACAAAAAATACTGAATTTTTTATCAGAGTTCTGGCCAGAAAATACTTATGAAATGTTTAATAAAAGACCTTAAAATGTTTTTTTTCTAGAAAATTTCTTTTTTAATCTAACTGCTCGTCAAAAGTTTTCTTCAGATGCTCCCCATTTTCAGCCAAAAACTCAAACTGTATTCGAGCCCTCATGGTTGATACACGACTGTTTTATCCCATAGGACCATAGGCCACAAGACCATAGGCCACAAGACTTCAATTGATTTTTTTTCAGAGCAAACTGTTGCAAATTATTACTTGATAAGCTTCAAAATGAAACCAATTGCAATTCCAAATGTCAGATAAAAAATAGATAAATTCTATACAAAAACAACAAACAAAGTAAATGAGATTATCCAAATAAAGAGCACTATCCAATAAAAAGCCTTTTGTTGAGTATGGAAAGCCTTCCCTATGAAGAAAGAGTTGAGCAGTTAAGCATTACGAGTTTTGTACCTTGTTAACTACCCCCCTCACCCCCTATTGCAATAGGGTGGAAACAGTTAACAAAATCCAAATATAGAGCTGTTCTTTTTTGCTCTCGCTCCAACTCCAATAACCTTAAGCAGGGTGAAATAAACCGATTTTTTTATTGCAGATTATACAAACTTCATAGGCAAATTAGAAAACATTTGATTACTCAAACAAAATCTGAAGTTGACTGCTTTTTGAAAAAATTTTGCGTTTCTAATTTCAAAAAAAAGCACTTGCCGAATTTCAAGACTTTTTTCTCTAACTATAGCAAAAGCAATTTCAATCGGTAACCAGGCATTCTTTTCATCAAAACAGTTTTCATTTAAAATCTGTAAGATTTTGATTTTGCTACTTAATGAAACTTGAACATTTTCACAACTTGGCTAGAGGTAAAATACGCGCCTTCAGTACACATACGGCTGTTGCTCAAATCCAGGCTGAAATTTTTTCGTCTTTAATATGTGGCAATTGATCTTTTTGGGGGAAAATATATCTGATAAAAACACCAATTTTTTCGGCTGGTTTTCCAAAATAGAGGTTTTTGTTCAAAGCATCATTAGTCTTTTGATTTGAGCAGTTTTAACAATAATAAAAATTTTGATTTGTTAAGTCATCAACTTTTTTCGGTTTTTCATGCTTAAGTAGGTATAGTTTATACTGTGATGGCTTACTTGCCTTTTGTTGTGGTCTTTGATGGATAGAAATACATATAGATTGCAGTTTTTTATTCAGCAGGAATGGGGCGTGAAAACTTCGTTATCAAAGTTTACCAGCTCAAAATTCTATGCTGCGTCTACTTGTCGGCTTAGTTGCCAGTCGGTGAACGATTATGAAAGCTTACTTAATGGCGGTAGTTGTTTTCCTCAAATTGAACATACTTCAAGACAAATGTACGAATCTTTGATAAACAAAACTTTTTCATTATAAGAAAAAATGTTGAAATAAAAAACTTTTTATTATAAAAAATAATTACATAAAATAGCAATCTGCAGTCAAATTTACGTTTCTTAGAACTTCAAATAGTATCTATCCGAACATCTCCAATTGAATCTTTCCGCAACGTTTCATTCTCTTGATACAGTCTTCAGCCTCGTCTCGTGTCGGTTTTCCCGGCTGACAAGACTCTATCACCGACACCAATCCTCGTTCAATCCCGATACAAGCCCGAACCGAACCGCACATAAACACGAAACTGTGCTTGTCTGCTAGAAATGAATAAATTATTTGTTTATACCGGGGAATTTCGTCCTGGACATATCGTTTTTGGTGTCCAGGTACTCGTGAATAAACCGGGACAACTTCGGTTAGAATTCTGTGGTTTGCTTGTGTCGTTGATTGGGTCAATTTCTTCAACTCGTCAGCATATAGAAGGTCATTCGGAGTTCGGCAGCCTATAAATAGCATTCGGTCCTTCTCGGTTGTCTGAATTGTTCTGCTTAGAGACAGAAGTTCGTGCCAGAATGCGCGGAATGGAGCAATTCCTGAGCCGATGGCGAACATCAGAAGTCGAGAACTCATTGTTTCCAAGACTTTGGAAAAGTCTACTTTCTGAGGATCCTGCAACTGGCCTGGAAGTCGGAAGGAGGGATTTGGGATCACAAAAATTCGCACCTTGCTTGCTTTTTCGTCCTTGTTAGAGGAGAAAATTTGTTCATTTTTGGACTCTGTTTCTGGACGGAAGTATGTAATCAGTCCCGTATGATCCTTTTGCTTGGTTTGTTTGTACCCAGCAGTACTGACTGTGCCATGAAGTTTGTTCACACTCATCCGAGGCTGATGGGACTGAATTGGGGGTAAAATCTGAAAACCATGTTACGTTAAAAGTGAGGTAGTTGATGGTTTAAGATGTAAAAAATATATATCAATGATATCAACATTTTGTTTGGCATGGGTGTTTGTAGACAAGCATTGTACTATAGTTAAACATCGAGTTAGATCTGGGTCTCACTTTTTCTCGAGGGACGTGGGGGTCTTATTGATACAATCAGAAATTTCGTAGGCCTTTTTGTAAATAGGCCAAAATGAATTTTGGAAAAACAGGGAAACAATGAGGGGGCCCTAATACACAAAAACAAATTGGAGTCGATTTTTCGAAAAAAAAAAGATGTTTAAGAAAATTAAGTTTTGAATGTTTTGACAAATAAAGGAACTTTTTGTCGACGCACACGTGACCTCCCCTTAATTTTTTTCAATAAACGATTGTCGACCAAGGCGCTTCTAGAAAAACATTCGGGTCAATCCCCCAAAACCGAATCTTGCTGGAAAAAAAAGCAAATAACGGACCTTTCTGTTGGTTTTGTATTGTTTCAATGACAACTCATTTTTGTCTTGGGGGATTGTTTGGTAGAGGAAGTTGGAGCACAGGCCATCTCGTCTCATTCCATTGGGTGTGTTGTATTTTACCACACTGACTGTGATCTGCAGTTTGTTCGCGTTGGTTCTTGGCGAGGATGAAATTGAGTAGGGGCGGGGCTGGAGAGGGGGTAGAAACTGCAAAAAAAAAACTAATTATCTGAAATTTGATGATTACACAGGGGGTGCAGCGAAGTAGTTGCTCACTCATCAATTTTATCCGAAGTCGGGGAGCGGGAGCTCGCGTTCCAACCTGATTCCGGTTCTTTTTTTTGCAGACACGGAAAATTTTTCTTTGCGTAAAACATGAAAACATCAAAAAGTCTTGGAAAATTAAAAATAAGGATTAAAAAAGAAATTTTATGAGAGTATGAGAAATAAAAAATTTAAATTTGAATTCCACATACATTCGTGTTCAAAAATTTAAAGTGCGGAAGTGTATCACCTGAATCAGCTCATGTAGCTTAATCTCAACAGATTTGAACTCATCCAAAACTTCGTTCACAGTCCACCGATTGACTGACCACTCCAAATAAGCCTCTTTATTTTCAATCAGTTGCCTTAATTTTTTCCTTTCACCTTCATCTGATGCGTATCTTGCGAAACATTCTAGAACATTCGGAAGTGAAGGCGAGACCAAGTCGACGTACTTTGAAATGAGTTCACGCATTGATTGAAATCTTCCATTTGATATCACATTCAGAGAACAAGGTCGATCTAAGTTAATGTCGTCCAGTTTCAGTCCACATCTTTTTATTACCTTTTCAACGTCTGAGGTTGGATTTTCCGGGAATATATAGACGTGATCGCCAGCCAAATAAGGCATGTCTTTTATCGCTAACTCAATTTGGCGTACCGAGTGCTGGTTCATGGAAGAACTCAAATGCCCTCTGTTTTCTATTTTAGCTGGCTTTACCAACTCTTTGTTCATGAGAACCGTCGCTTCCAAGGGGTTAGTTTTAGTGTATGGTCCGACACCTTCTCTTCTTGCACACACGTTGTCGTAAAAGCTAAGTTCAATCATAGCTTGAGCTCCTTCTTCATCTGGAAATTCATCTTTCTCCGAACTTGATACCAAGTCGTTCGATCGTTTTTCTTCATCAGTTAGAATGTTAGTTTTGGCTGGCAATGCTTGTTTGATTGGGAACACTTGCTTAAGTGCCCCAATAGCTTCCGTTTCCCACCTGCAGAAAGATTTGTACTGGTCGCTTAGCGCGTCACAAGTCGCAACTGGAAGCAACCTTGTGGATCCAAGATTTTCCAAAGTTTGATCCAGACAAACACCGAACTCGCAAAAGTCTTCGTATGCTTTGGAACCTATTGCGCAAACAGCATACACAAAGTGACTGCACGAATTCTTTAGTTCGCGGTTTAGTTGACCGAAACTTTTTTCCTGTGACTCAACTAAGCTTTGGTTATTTTCTTCCATCCATTGTTCGGTTTTAAGCCCATTAGCTGGAGCGTTTCCCCGGCCGAATGTAGAAGTTATAATTAATAACAGTTGTGTAGTTTTGTCTGCGTCGGGGAAGGAGAATTTGTCCAACTCAGATAGTTCTGCTTTGTAGCCCTCTTTAAAAAGTCGGCTAACCGTTTGTTTAGCGTATGACTCCGCGGTTCCCGTTGTGGACGCATACAAAACCGTAACACAAGTTCGTTTGTTTATCCGGGATATCAACATTTCAAACGGCTTGAACGCGTTTTTAACCAGTGCCCAGTTATTTTTCTTCACTGGCTCATCGATAACTGCTGGATTTTTCCGAAGTCTTTCGAAATACGGAACCCAAGGTTCAGTCTGATCAAGTATACACGGTTTCACCAGGTAGTTCATCATCTCTTGATGGAAGGCGGGACTCATTCCGCTACTTATAGGAGGCACAATCCACACCCAATCGGCAGGAGTGTTTCCGCGAGCCACGGTGTCTTCTTTTAAGAACTTCTGGAACCCGGCAGCTGCAGTATGATGATCCACAATGGATACTTGAGCTTGCTGGAAGGAATGTAACACAGCGGCATTGACCTCAACATAAATGCGGTCAATGTTGAGTTGACTACTAGCTGCCAGAGTTACATCTAAATCCATAATCTGAGCTAGCTTAGGGATACTATTATAACGCTGAACGTCACATAAATCACGGCCAATTTCAGTTTCCATGAACCACCCACTAAAAGGAACACATTTAAACACCACGCCACCAATTTCTATAGCCTTATCTGCTACAAACGGCTGTGCAAACCACTGCAGCCCTAGTTGTCGCATAGCTTGTTCGTATTTTGGGTCGGGATGCGACAGTTCGACAATCGGCCGACAGTCTACAGGCAACTCGTACCAGCTAGGATCTTCTTCTGGGTTGCATTGAACAATCACAGGCAACACATCCCATTCGGTTCGTTCAGTTTCTGGTTTGCTCCAGCCAATTTTCATCGCGATTCGAGTCAACTCCCGATTTGCTGGGTCGCCTAGAAGCGTCCCGTCAGTTTGCTCGTAACAAGCGAATCTCAAATATTGGCTGGACCACAACCTCGCGTTTTGAGGCAGAACCAGAACAGTTGCTAGCAGTTTTCCGCCGTTAAAAGAGCTTCGTATGTGTTGACAAACGGCTTCGAACATGGCGTCATTTGTTTTCACGTCTCTCCTGTCTGTTATTTCAAGCGTCTGCCAATAGAGGCGGTTGATACACCTGGCTGCATTGCGCCACGCTAACTGCGCTCCGTATCTCAGTTCGTCTGTAGTGTAAGTAGCCGACTGTTTTGTCTTGATTTCGTCTTCAATCTCTTTCAGTCGAACATGGTACTCGTCTTTGTGAGTTTTCTTATCGTTGTGATAAATTGTCAAATATTGTTTTGCTTCTTGTAGAAATTGATCTTTAGTGTAATTCGGCAAGGGCCAGTTTTCATCGGAAGCGTCTTTCTTTGGGTAAGGTGAGTAGTTCATAAGTGAACTTGTACATACTTGGTGCCGACAGTCCTAAAAAATTTACAATAACCAAAATTGGAATCCTAGAAAAAGCAAATATGAAATGCAGGTCATGAATTTTCGTGAGAAACAAAATCGAATATAGTGCATTTTTCAAAAAAAAAAATTATTATCTGCATCAAAATTTTAAAGCACAGTTTGGATGGGGATTAATTTTTTTTGCAAGAGTTTTTTTAACCAAAATCAGGAGCCACAAATATGCATTGAATGGGGACAAGTGATATAACGCAAATAGACTCCCTTGATACCCCATGACTGTCGTAGTACCAAAAAACTTCTAGAAGTGTTTGCCTTTTAAGTCGAATAATTGATTAACTTGGGTCTTCATTGAATTTCGAGTTCTCCTTTGAATTTGACATATTAAAAATTTCAAGCTATTAGTTCTTTTTTACCAGTAACACAATCAACAAAAATCAACAGAAAGTTCTAAAAGAATTGCATAAGAAAACGAAAACATTTGCGAAAAACAAGATAAAATGAAATTTTTTGATTATTATTTTTTTTGCAATTACAACGTTAGTCAGGCTCTCTGTCCTACCAGTATAATCTTTAAGGACCGAAGCCCAATAATGATGATAGCGATGATGTACCTGATTATGAGCTGATTTGGGGACAACCACGGGAATACTTTCCTCCGTCTGGTAGTTCCTTAGTACCGTTTTTGCACTCACAGTCAGAACTGGACAACCACTTTTGATTGAACCATCGGAGGAACTGCAGGGTTTATTGTTGACCATTGTTGTTGTTCTAGTCTTTGTTCTAGTAAAAAAAACAGTCAGAATTGAATACATGTGAAGTTTGCTCAGTTGACTTATGAAAAATTAACAATTTTTTTTTCGTTCTTTTAATTCATTGAATGAACTCTTCCCTTTTCAGTGTCTATGTCGTCCTCATGGTCAGGTCACTGAGTCTAGACACAAACTGTAGGTTAAAAATCCCCCCTTTAGAGGTATCTAAGTAACACAATTAGGTGATGCACTCCTTCACAAATCGTTTTTGAACACAAGAAATTACTTAGAGATCATTCGTTTTACACGTCGTTTAAAAACTTATTTCTCAAAAAAAGAAACTCAAGGTGATCAGAATCTCAAACTAAACTGCAAAACAGAAAAAAGCAGATTGGTTTTTGAATTAACCTTGTATATGGTACGAACTTTTGGTATCTCATAAATCATAATAGAGAGTAGCAGAAAATCATACTTTGAATTTGTCTCAAAATGAATGTTTTCTATGCATGAAAAGATTTCGCTGATAATTTTAATGGATGAACCAGGTTAATTTCAACTTTCAATTTTTTCTGAAATTGTAATATATTTTCAATCTAAAAACGAACAAAGGTTTAGAGGCCTTACGTGCTATGAAACGGTAGCTTTTCAGAGGGTTCCAAAAGTTGGTAAGTTGAGAAAATCAAAGAAAGGCTCTGGAAATGCTAATAAAAACTCTCAACTATCAAATCCTGAATCTTGGTCAGGGACGCATTTAGGATTATCTCGAGGGCGGGGGAGGGGGTGTTTCAAAAAATTTTATCGATTTTTTAAAAAAATTCTCGTAAAAATAGGCCAAAAATTTGGGCACTATTTCTGAAATTTTTGCCAAATAATCGCGCGCTCCCAATCAAAAATGGTATATGTTGGCGTCCAAAGCGCCCGTAGAACAATTTTAGGGTTGTTCGGCCGAAAATGGATGTCAAAAATTAATACCAAAGATCACATTTTGGTTTGTGAGGGGGCCAAATCGCTGAGAGAAGGGTAGCATCCCCCCAAATCCGCCTCTGCATTTCGTGAAATAAGAAACAAAAGAAATATTGAGGAAACAAAGTTACTCTCTGTGACCAATAGAAAATTCCCACAAAAAATTTAGAAGAAACTCAAGATTCAATTATTTAAAGCTAAACTTCATTCAATTAATATTTAATATTTCAACTTCATTCGCCGCATGTTCTGATTGAAAACTCCTTAGATGAAAATTGCTGATTGAAAATTCCTTAGAACTCTGGACCAGGTTTGGCATTAATTTTTAATCGAGCGGAAGTCTAACCATGTGGCTATGTTGTATTGTTGGTCAAATTGAAACCACCGATAGTCGAAGTCTATGAGCTTCTCAATACAATAAGTGAAACAAAGCTACGCACCATCTGCGAAGCAAAAATTGTCCTGTGACACAACTAACTACTGAATGTTAGGCTCCTTTTCCTTTTCCCCCACCTCACGATTTCATGGTGCTACGAGCGGTTTTACAAGGTTGAGTATGAAGACCAAACATGTTTGTCATTGCTCAAATAGCCCGTATGCTAAATTCTATAACAATCCGACGATGTGAACAGTAAAATTACTCAAATAACTTTGCAACGTTTGGCTTTAAAAAATGAGCCGAATGTTGTTCTCATGAAAATATGTTCAAGGGAAAACTTCCAGAAACGATCTTAAAATCAAAATTCCCTAGAAAATAAAGGTTACATTAATCACGTGATGATGATGAAAATCACGCGATGAAAAGGATCCAGGCAGCAGATGGTAAGTAAGGTCCTGGCTGATATTTGGAAAGTAAGGTTTTCCAAAAAATGATAGGAAAACAAAAAATGCTTCAAGACAAACTAAGAGTTTTCATTTTGATCACAAACTCAGGGGCGGATCTAGGAATTTCTTGATAGACGAGCGGATTTTCAAAACATTTTCAAAATTTTGTCGACCCAAATGTCCCTATTTTGACCAAAAATTTCGCCCCACAGGCAAATTTTTGCAAAAAAGAAAACGCCAAAAAACTTGTTTTCAGTTTTTTTTTACTTTTTTAACCAGAAAATTGCGTTTTTAAGCAAATATTGGCGCAAAAATTAGCAAATATTGGCGCCAAGGGCGCCTTTAAAACATTTTTAGAGTTGTTTGGCCCAAAATGGATGTCATAAAATAAAAACAGAGGGAAGACCTTTTGGTTTATGAGGTGGTCGAATCCCTGCGGAAAGGAAGCGTCTGCCCCACCCCCTATTTTTCAATTTTTTGAGTTCTTGTCAGATTTATGGACATCAGCCAGCTTCAAGTTCAAAAACGCCAGAACAAAACCGTATTTTAAATATGATTTCGACCTCTCTGCAGGAAATGAAAGGCTTTTTTCAGGTTCTGATAAAACTCAGAATTGGCGCAGTTCAAAACTACCAAGCTACTCATTGAGTGCATGTCTTAATCGAGGCTTTGAATTTCCTATGAACTTTGAAAAACTAAATAATTAGCTGACAATGAAATTCGAAAAGCAGAATTCCAGCTGCTAAAGCGTTGGCTTTTCTGACCGAACTAACAGTCCTAGCTGTCGTGCAGAGTTGACACAACCTACTAGTTTTTTTTTCTTTCAAGGGCACAAAAACAAGCAAAGAAAGTTCTCGACAATTAGATTCAAAACAAAAACTTGACATGAAGTAGCGCGAGTTACAGTGGAATTAAAATAGTCTATGTACAACAAAGCAGCCTGTAAAAACAACAATTAGAATTGACTGAAAGGTCGATTTAGACCAAATCCTCCGACATATAAATATCTACCAAAAAAACTGTTCCGAGAAAGCTACAACGACAAAAAAATTGTGCAAATACCACTGGTAAGCTAAACCAACTAATCTAAGTTAAAAGAATAAAAAGTAAGTGCGGTAAATAAATCTGAGCGATGTTTAAATAGAGCAACTAGTGACAAAAAGTCTACTGGACTTCGTAAAGCTAACAACTGGCTGGTATCTAATTAACTAATAGAAGTCAAGGTTACTACTTCGGGATACACAACCACAACATTTCCCAATGCACGAAAAAAATGTAGCTGCACTTTTGCTATGTCCCCTCTAAATTATATGGAGAGAGGCGGTTCATAGTTCAGGTGTCTCCAGCAGCCGCGATAATAGACATATTGGACTCTCTCGTCAAACAATAGATGCCAAACTTCCAACAATATCGAGTCACCATATGCTTTTTTGACACCCCTGGAGGATATACCACCAAGACCAACCTTAGTGGCCGCAACAACACAAGGCTCACTTTCGACTACATCCTCGATGAACCCGAAAATCGCGGTCCTATGCTCCCAATTGGAAGAATGTCCAATGGTTAACAAAGATGAAGAGGGGAGCGATATTTCGTCAATACTCGATACGAAAGTTAGAAATGAAGCAGACAATTTTCATCAAACATTTTATTCTTCAGCGTAAAACTCACAAAACTCATTTAGTTTAATTGGACATTAAGTCGTGCTTATTTTACTACTGGTTATATACCAATTTGTTGAAGCAATTTTTTTACGCTCAATCTTACCTTAGTGATCTTAGTAGTAGTTCCTTGTCCGCCTCATTTTATCGTAATACCATTTTAGTTTATTCTGTTGTATTTGTTTTTTTGATACAAAACAATTGTACATAACATTTTTTTTATTTAGTCATTTATTGATCTGCTGTATAAATCTGTAACAATTCCTAGGTAGCCTGTAAATTTTATCTCATATTCATCTCCGCGTTAATGTGTATCTTCCCCTGTAAATTCCATTGGTGCTGAGTTTTGTTTCTTTTTGTATCAAACTTTGGATCCCATGGAGTGAAGGGAGAATGGAGTATGTGTGTGATTTTGGCTTAGATCTTTTTTTTGTCTGCCTCGTAACTTCTCATGCCCCCGAATTTTCGTTTCTCTTCTTGGATTTGTTTGACTTCTGTGTGTTCGAAAACTCGCATTGCTTCTTTGTTTCTGGCCTACCTAGCTTTCCTCTGTGGTTCATTTACTGAATCTTGGGCGCCTTCTAACATAGGGATTGTAGTTTCTAGTTCCAATTGTTCTTTTAGAATGTCTATGTCCAAGTTCTTTTTGGCAATGAGGGCCAGGTGGAACTGATCGACCCAGTTGATCTATTGGGTGGGTGGTTCTTCAATGTGTTTTGGCCAAAAAGCGGGAAATCCCCGCAGATTCGAATCAGTTGATGACTGCGCCATGAAAAAAGTGTGCAAATACCACTGGTAAGCTAAACTACCAATCTAAGTTAAAAGAACAAAACAAGTGTGTTAAATTAAAACTGACCGATGTCTAAGTAGAGCAACTAGTGACGCGAAGTCCACTAGACTTCGTAAAGCTAACAACTGGCTGGTATCTAATTAACTAATAGAAGTCAAGGTTACTACTTTGAGATACACAATCACAACATTTCCCATTTTACGAAAAAATTGTAGCTGCACTTTTATTAAGTCCCCTCTAAATTATATGGAGAGAGGCGGTTCATAGTAGAGGTGTCTCCAGCAGCCGCGATAATAGACATAATGGACTCAGAGGAGTAACCACTCATAACATTCTCGTCAAACAATAGATGCCAAACTTCTAACAATATCGAGTCACCATATGCTTTTTAGACACCCCTGGAGGATAAACCACCAAGACCAACCTTAGTGGCCGAAACAACACAACGCTCACTTTCGACTACATCCTCGATGAACCCGAAAATCGCGGTCCTATGCTCCCCATTGGAAGAATGTCCAATGGTTAACAAAGATGAAGAGGGGAGCGATATTTCGTCAATACTCGATACGGAAGTTAGAAATGAAGCAGACAATTTTCATCAAACATTTTATTCTTCAGCGTAAAACTCACAAGACTCTTTTAGTTTAATCGGACATTAAGTCGTGCTTATTTTACTACTGGTTATATACCAATTTGATGAAACAATTTTTTTTACGCTCAATCTTACCTTAGTGATATTAGTAGTAGCTCCTTGTCCGACTCATTTTATCGTATTACCATTTTAGTTTATTCTGTTTTGTTTGTTTTTATGGTACATAACAATTGTACATAACGCTTTTTTTTATTTAGTCATTTATTGATCTGCTGTATAAATCTGTAACAATTCCTAGGTAGCCTGTAAATTTTATCTCATATTCATCTCCGCGTTAATGTGTATCTTCCCCTGTAAATTCCATTGGTGCTGAGTTTTGTTTCTTTTTGTATCAAACTTTGGATCCCGTGGAGTGAAGGGAGAATGGAGTATGTGTGTGATTTTGGCTTAGATCTTTTTTTTGTCTGCCTCGTAACTTCTCATGCCCCCGAATTTTCGTTTCTCTTCTTGGATTTGTTTGACTTCTGTGTGTTCGAAAACTCGCATTGCTTCTTTGTTTCTGGCCTACCTAGCATTCCTCTGTGGTTCATTTACTGAATCTTGGGCGCCTTCTAACATAGGGATTGTAGTTTCTAGTTCCAATTAATCTTTTAGAATGTCTATGTCCAAGTTCTTTTTGGCAATGATGGGCAGGTAGAACTGATCTATCCAGTTAGTCTATTGGGTGGGTAGCTCATCAGTGTGTTTTGGCCAAAAGGCGGGAATTCCCCGCTGATTCGAATCAGTTGATGACTGCGCGATGAAAAAAGTGTGCAAATACCACTGGTAAGCTAAACTACCAATCTAAGTTAAAAGAACAAAAAGTAAGTGTGTTAAATTAAAACTGACCGATGTCTAAATAGAGCAACTAGTGATGCGAAGTCCACTGGACTTCGTAAAGCTAACAACTGGCTGGTATCTAATAAATTAATAGAGGTCAAGGTTACTACTTTAAGACTAGTTAACGGGTAGCCATAATTGACGCCCGGCCCGGCCCGATATAATTCAAGTCGAGCCCGTTGGTGGCCCGATAAACAGGGAATTAATTAAATATTGGCCCGTTGGGTCCCGTTGCTGCTTTTTTGGTAAAAAACAAATTTGTTTCAAAACAATTTTAATAATTGTTTTACTTATTTATAAAGACCTTTTTTAAAAGCCATGGAAATCATTTCAATTGCCTCAACGGTTATAGGGGAAAGTTTTGCCCGTCTTTCGGATACCGTCAGACCGCAATCAGAGTAAAGCCTCGTTGGGGCCCGTTGACAAAAATGAAAACCTCGGTCCGGCCCGGCCCGTTGAGGCCCACGGGCGGCCCGGCCCGTTGACAAGTATGACTACTTTGAGATACACAATCACAACAGACAAAAAATATATTAACACAGAAGTGAAGCGGAATTTTGCAAACACAAAAACTGCCGAAGAAAGCTTTAGCCAGCATTTGAACTTCATCCAATAATAGGTACAAGGCAGCAACTTATGTCTCGAATGAAACTGATAAAAACACATGTTGAAGTTGACCACAAGTTTGCTGAAGTTTATACAAAGTTTGCTGAAGTTTATACAATGTTTAGCATTACCAATCAAAATCAACTATGATTTTTAATTTTCAAAAATAAACACATCGTTCTAAATCTCTTCGAAATTTGAGAATTTGCTGAAGTTTTCAACTGTGATTGGGACTGTTTTCTATAGCCGTTTTCTCTTACAAATTTTTAAGAGTTTGATTTTATTATGAAAGCTCAATAATTTTAAGGCTTCTTTTAACCTAATCTAGGGGTTATATATGTGCCTTGGGTACATGATCTAGGATTCGAGACCAAGATAGGCCTTGTTTATCAGCAATGTGTGGAAAATGAGTTTTTTTTTGCGAAAAATTGGATTATAGTTTTACTATTGGCTTTTAATAGCTTTCTTTCCAAAACATAGAATATTTTTTTCGGTGGTTTTGATATGAGCAGTTTTTTTTCTATCATTTTAATTGGTTCTAATTATACTACAATGACTTAGTTACTCCATTTTTGTTGTTATAAGAATCAAAATAGTTTGTAAGCTTTCCTGTGTTTCATGAATGGGCGTGAAAACTTTGAACATCAAAATTTATTAGATCCAAACTCTATCCGGCGTCTGCACAAAGATTGCCGACCTCGCTGCTGCTCGGTAAACTTGTGAAAAATTTTGAAGGCTAATATAATGGCTGTGATTGTTTTTCTTGGCATTTTTCCCTCAAACTGATTATCATTCAAGACAAACGTATGCAATTTCGGTAAACACAGTTTCGATTTTCGTGGCTTGTCTGATTTTTTTGTCTGCTAGTTTACAATGCTATGTTGGTGTTGTATCCCACGAGTGTCTTTTTAGATAATACAGAACTACTAAGAGAAAATGGTTTTAAGTCATAAAAAAGTTAAAACCAAGACAGTGTTAAAAATCTTTTTTTTCTTCAGTTTATATATTGAATTTGACTTTCTGTCTGCTAGCTTACAAGGCTATGTTGTGCTGTATCACGCGATTGTCTTCTTTGATAACACAAAACCATTTGAAGATAACACAAAACCAATTGAAAAGTCAATAGGTTATTTTCAATTCTGCCGGGAAATCTAGAAAATTATATCATTTTGGAAACTGAAATTCATTTACGTTTTCTTTTGCGCGTCTTGTTATTGGATAGAGAGTTTTTTTGCATTTTTTTTAGCAAATGAATTTGAATTCAATATTAAAAAAAAATTGAGAGTCAAACCATGAAAAACCAAGACGTACACTGTTCATTACAGCAGTTAGTCTTATATTTGTTCGGTCTGAGGGCATGCAAGTTGTGAAAAAAATATTCGTTTACCTCCTAATTCGTTCAATTACCCGCTTAAACGCCTTCCTTTAGTTTGTTTTGCTCGTTATTAAGTTCAATGTCTCTCAAAGTTCAATCATCCCCATCTCCTTGTCATTCACTCAATTTTATTATCAGAGAGATACGCTTCAAAATGAGTCGAGCGCCGTAGGTCAAACCGCCAAAAACATATCGGGAGAGGACAAAAACATTGGAATAAACCGCCAGTGTATACGATTTCTTTGAGAATCATTGTGAAAATGATTTGTATTCACCTGAACAATTTTTAAACTTCACAATTACTGGTGAAAAAACTATTAATTGAAACGATTTTGATATCTGTACAAGAACAAGAAATAAGCCGAATACTAATTAATATATCTGCAATGTGAATGTGAGGATGATATCACGGCGCAATTGTGACAGGAACATCGTACAAAATCCAGAGTAATCAACGAACGAGACACGATGATGATGATAAGCATGATATTAAGGGTTGATTTGAGGGTTGGCTAAATATGTCGAATAGATTTATAGAAAATGCATTTGAAGTAAGATTAAAACCATGAAAAATGTATAGCATCTTTTTTTCTTCAGTTTATATGTTGAACTTGATTTCCGAACTAGCAACGCTCACTGTTTTCAGGATCTTGGAACAATAATTGCACAGACTAGTCAATTAAACCAGCCATAAGTTTCAATTTGTTTCTGAAAATTATATAAAAAATACTATTTCAAAAGCATGTTAGTCAATATCAGAGATTTGCTCCAACGGCCAGCTTTCATTTATTCATTATTACAAGAAACTGCATTTATGACTATTTACTTTCCCAATTTTTTATAATTAACCAAAAACTATCAGCTGCAAAACTTTTTGGTAACGGTAAATTTTATACAAATTGCATGCCCATTGAGCAAATAAAGCATGAAGAATCTCGTTAAATTTTTCCCGCAATGATGCCAAGTGAATAATTTCCAACCCTATAGAGGACTAATTCAACGATTCAGCATCTAAAAATTTGTGCCTAGTAACAAAGTTACCTCGGGGAAATAGTTACAAGATTTAACGTAAGATTTTAAAACTATCACAAAACTTCGGTTTAAAACGATATCTAAAAAAATTGCCCCAATTTCCCTTCAACGCTGTTCAATCTTCAGTTTCAATTCCGCTTACTCATCGCCATCTCGGCCGCTTTCTGTGCATTCAGCCTCACTTGCTGTTTCTGTTTGAGCGACACTGAGTAACTCAACATTCCCGAAGAGTGATGCGCACCAGCTGGTCGCTTTCTCACCCACTTCAACGCGTGTCCCTGAAACACACACAAAAAAATAAGTTTCAGTTTGGTACTTTTGCAAACCGATCGAGTTTATCCACAGCAATGAAGAAGCTAGCTGAACTAGCTAGCTTGCGCGATCACGATCAGACAGAACCTAAAGGGCTCCTTTCTTATCAAAAGGAAACTATTCTTCTAATTTAAGACTTTTATGAGGCTACTCATGTCATAAGGTCGTCATCAAAAATAGGCCAACAGATTGATAAATCATAATTTTTTATCCAGATATTAAAAAATTACACTTTGACCCATGGTACTAATTGTCTTTCATTCACTTAACTTTAAAGAAAAATTATATATCAATGAACATAATTCAAAAATTTGTAAACATTGGCGGAGCAGACGAAATATATTTTATCAAATTTCATGGCAAATCACAATGTATTTTTGTAAATCTAAATCAGACAGATAGTGACGAGACCAGCAGAATTGAGGATTTTATCAGTCTAGCTTGTAAGCAGATAGGAAAACACAAGCTTGATCTTTATGGGCTATTAATATATCGTAATTTTTAAATGAATAATAAACTTATCGACTCGTAGTGGGAATCCAACCCCGAAACCATCACAACTTCTCCTCATGGCTTTTAACTGTTCCGACCAATAAAAGTGGGGAGGAACCTTGTATTCGGGCGTGTTTTTGTTTTCTTTCTTTTTTCTTTTCCACATAAAATCAGGTATCAAATAATAATCGGAATCGAGTGATATATCATTCCTTTCATTTTTCAGTGTCGAGAAAAAAAACGTTGGAAATTTTTGGCCTAATTTTGAGCAAAAAAAAAGAGAGCGCAAGCACGCTTTATTTGTTTTTCAACCAAAAACAGTTATCACAAAGAATCATCGGAAACGATGAGGGTGATATATCAAATTACAGCCCTTTCAGCCTGATTCGAACGAAAATAAAAAATTCTCAAAAAAATTGTCCCATTGTCGAGAAAAACTGCTTTACAACTTTAAGTACATATTCCAGCGAGTAAAGCGAGCGAGCAGGCTTATTATTGAAAAAAAAACCGTTAAACTTAAGTTTAAATATAACTAAAAATAATATTTTGCGAAGTCATTTAGCGCTATTTTTGGAAAAAAAAACTAAAACTCAAAAAATCTTTGCATAGAAAACTGAAATTTTCCACGTTTTTTTTTCTTGTCATTTTTCGACAAAAACCGATGCGCAATTTGCCAATTTTACTGTGGCTGTCGATCGAAAATACTTCAAATCTAGACTTTCGTCAGACCATTTGATCTGTGATACTTGCACAATCTGTGCTACTTGCACAGCAACCGGCTATCCTTGTCAAAACAAAGGTCTTTTAGAAAAAGGAAATTTACTAGCTCATTGTTTTTCAAATTGAATGAATTTCTGAATGATGTACAAAATTGGAAAGGGCGTTAAGGAATATGAATCAGGTAATTTCAAAATTATTGATTTGAGTGTTATAAAACTGTATCTAACGGGAACGAGTGGAAAATCTTTTGTTGCTTTCGTTCTCCGCGAGGGCGGTTGATAAAGACCACCGTAGTTAGATCTGTGGCTTTTCGCTATTCGACTTTCAAAAATTATAAAAATATATTTGTGTATGATTCTGAGTGTTGATTATTGATTGTTTTAAACACAAACTTGAGTAATTCAAGTATTTCATAGATATTCAGTAGGTACACTGAAAGTAATTGGTTCTTAAGAAAATTATCTTCTGCGCGGTTTCAACGTTCTCGAAAATGTACGAACTTGAGAATTTTCTCTAGCAGTGTGAGTTTTTGTTTATGATTGGAAAAGCTGTTTCATCCAAATATCAGCACACCATATTGAAACGCAGAGAAGAAGCTGCGCTTCGCAAACACTAGCAAGAACAAGACAAAAAGCAGCTCCATAAAAAGGAAAAAGTAGAAATTAGCCTCGAATTAGTAACGATTCGGCTACGTCTCGCATTCGAACATACGCCCTACTTCGATCTAGAGAATATGAGTCTCACGCATTAACCACTCAGCCATGGACGCTTAAAAATATCAAACACCAGCCCAAAATAAAGTAGAGAACAGATGCTTTGCTACAGTGAAATTTCCAATGTTACAGTGAAATTTCCATATAAGTGAACACATACAATGAACACTTTGATTTGCGAGTTAGGTTAGAAAAAAACAAGGTTCGTACTAATACACTAACGCTCGCACGCTCACAAGAGTGATCATACGCTAATAACAACTTTATTGTAGCAAATCAATGGTTTCGATACGCAAATTAAAGTAACTTACACACAATGCAACACTACACTCAAAATCTTTTTTTTACAAGCCATACTAAATTGAGAAAACTACGATCTTTTGTTCAGGCCTGTTTCACCGACCTTCCTTAAATATCGCTTTTCACCCCGAGAGCCACTGATTATCCCCATCTATAATCGAGGTTTCTGACGAATAGGGGAGCGGGGAGTGTACCATAGCCAAACTGTTCATTGGATGGCCAAATTAGTCAAGTTTATTTCTCTTATCGGGGCTTTTTACGTAGGCTAATAAGGTAAAGTGACAATTCGTAACAATCGACAATTCGTCGCAAAGCATAGACAAGTAGCGAACGCTTGCTCTACTTCGCTTGCGTTCTCGGTGAAAAGAACGCATAAATCAATGTTTGCCGTTTAATCTACTTTTAAGAATTGTCTTCTCACGGGTTGGTAGGTGGTTTTTTACATTTCTGATTTCACTCACCTGGTCCAGTCTGATGCGGATGCTGGCTGCCTCACTCGCACGCACAGTGTCCTTAACTGACGTCATAATGTTCTGCGCATTCAACACCAGCATCTCAGTCGCCTCAATGTCATCTTTGGTAGCTGAAATTATAACACTAGAGATTATAAAAACTCAAACATTCACTTTATGAACTTGAAGCATTTTGAGCATTGAAGGTTGAGATTGTTTTGCAGATGTTCATAAAGCATCAGCTTGTGGCAATCGAACTCAAAGTATTTATGTTCTGGTTCTATATTGCCAATTTTACTTAACATCAATTCCGATATGACTTTCACATATGATATCGGAATTGATAGTAAGCCAATTGACAAAATGCAGCAATTAAAAACTTGTATATTACCAGTCAGAGTAAAACTTCAATACACTTATACTCAAATTCCTTATTTCTTGAAAAAATATATTTGAACTGTAGTGAATTCAGTTGATGAGTTTTGGTACTGTATCATCAATTCAGTGGTTATAAAGTATTCCATAACAAATCATGGAACTAGTTGGTATAATAAAAAGTAAAATAAAATACAGACCATTATTTTGATTGTTAACGAGGTACATCATGCATAGGGCCATGCAGTCGAGAACTATTACGCAATAACACAGTTATATCACAAATCAGCAATGGTTAGATTGCATCGAAGTTCAGTCAAAAATGACAATTTTGTTGTAACTTTTAATTTAATCAAAACTTAAAATTTTGAATCAAGATCATTGTGAATTTTTGTATTTTTTTCATTGTTTTTGAATTGTGAGTTAGACAGATTTTTTTAAAATCGGATCTTCGTTAAAAAAAGTTAACTTCCAATCACAGTAGTGTTGTTTCATTAATCACTTCATACTTTCATTTAACTTTCAGTGGATCATGCGCAATTTAACTGAATCTATCTTACATTACATAATAACTGTTCAACATCAACCAAGTTATGTTTAATAACTACTCCAACTGATATTAGCTAATTGCAACTATCATTTCTAATCTATAATACTACTACCCACCTTGATCATCAGCCGCCACATTCTGGGCTATTTCGTCCAGCTGGGACGTGGGCTTGGCAGTGCCCCCCCTTTCTAGCTCAGTGGCGGCTGCCTCTATGCCGATAGAAGTGGCCAACTTGTCTAGCTTCAGGGCTATATCTGCCCCGTTTAACGAGTTATCTGCCACAACGAGGAAACCGATATTTGAATTTTCATGTAAACATTTCTTTAAGCCAATTTTGTTCAAATATATTCTAGTGCTGTCTCAATTTTCCTCAACGAATGAATGTATATATATTTAAGTATATTTTCATGATCGTTAATTTCAACTTCGCTGAAAAAAATTCCATTATAAACAACCTATAAGTCATTATTTTGAAAATGTAGTACAATTTAGATCAAACTAGTTTTCAAATATTTAAAAAAAGAACTGAATCACCATTGTTTTTTACTTTGTCGTACTCGGCACCAGAACTTCAACCTATCAAATATCTTTTTATAGTCATAGTCATGTTTTCAAATGTAAGCAAATAGATTATTATTTTTGGTCTTCTCTGTTATACGGCCCAATACTACCAAATTACTAAGCTTATGAGCTTACTTTGAGATCCAGATTTAAATTAGATTCAACCAATCAGATTCGAGCGTTATGATCCAACTTTAAAAACAGCATAATGATCAATTTTGGGCCGCAAAACAGAAAAAAAAAACATTCTATTCGACTAAAACAATGAAGTGACTCACCATTTGCAACTCCCCCAATGGTTGTGGCCTTGACAGTGGAGAGGATGTTTAGCTGGGTGGCCAAGGTGGGGATCTTGTGGGCCACATTCTGCAGATTCTAAACACAGCAAAGCAACAAATAGCAACACAGTTGATAAATTATATTCCCATGTACAGGGCTAAAAGCAATGAAGAATTAAGAAAACAAAAATCCGATCAAAAATATTTTTCCCAAAAACGAAAAAAAAAAGATACTCTATACGTATTAATCGAGGATCAGCTCAATTAGTTTGTCCTTTCACTCGGGGATGAATGGTCTGAAAAAAAAGAAACTTTAATTTTATTTCGACTTAAGCATAATTTTTTTGTCACACGAGGCAGGGGACCGAGAATAGCTTAAAACAAATTGACAATAGCTTTATTAAAGTATGATGTCAAAACTTTTGCAATTTTAGCCTAAAAAATCCATATGAAGAGTGACTCTTCACTCAAAAACCATCTGACTACTCAATTTTTTTCAACAAAATCAATTTGAGACACTGAAAAAAGAACATAGCCAGCAGACAGTTGGACAAGAGTCAATGAACGCAAGTAAACAGGAAAAAAACTGACATTTTTTCTCAGTTTTCGATTTTCAAAGACAAAAATAGATGCCTTTAAGACTCTGCGAACTAAAGCTCTACAGCAATTCATGATTGGCCTTTTTAAATAAAATTAACCCAGTTTGAGAAAACTCGATCAGTAAAAGAAAATTAAACACAGAGGCGAAGTTGCACTTCGCATACACAAGCAAAAATATGACCGACAACGCTACTGGAAAAAACTGAATGAGTAAAATTTTGAGACTACAAAATTTTTCAAGGTACAAGCCAATTACGACGCATTACCAGTACCAGTCAATTTACAAAAACAGAAATTTACTAACTAACATGCCTCAATTTATAGAGCAGACGCATTTTAGCTAGTATATTCATTAAAAACATCCGACCCTGCCCAGGTTCGAACCCTCCTATATTGCTGCTGGTCTCCTTCCCTACCTCTACGCTACAGAACCATGGTATCTAGAAGCTAAAGCGCTACTTGTAACACAAAATTCTGGGTTAATATCCATAGCATTGGCTGTACTTAAAAGCTGGATCAAAAAGGACACATTTTGTCGCAACAATTGCATCGCAACAATATTTGCGATGTGGAAAAAAATGAAGTAGGAATTTGCGGGCTGGAAAAAAAAGAAAGTTCATACTATAACACAAGCTATACTTGTGTAAAGACAGATTAAATCCCCTTTTACGCGTTAATAGCATAAAATATGTCGCGCATTAATTATCCCACACTGGCGATTTTAAACACCCACGAATTTACGAAAAATCACAGGTAAAATATCTTTTTAAATTTCAGCTCAGGACAACGATACTTTTCGGCTGAAATGAAAGAAATAAAAAATCCACCACAAAAGTTGGGTTAAAAAGTCGAAATTTGCGTGGAGAACAAAACCAGCGCGAGCTCAAATATTCCACCACTTTCGTCGAAAGTCGGAAAAATGAAATCAAACAGATTGCGCCCACTTTCTAGCAATAGAATCTCAATGAGCCTAATTTTGTATTTGCCGAGGAAATTGTATTTGTACAGCAGGGGCTGAATGGGCCCAATTTTCTGTCCCTGATTTGATATGGAAGGGGGTGAATGAACCCAATTGTCTAAACAGTGAGCTCTTAGTTGGGCGTCCTTGAGTCCAATTTATTTTTCCTTGACAACTGGGGGACCAATCGTACTATATGCTCATTCAGCCCCTTTTCATGAAAACTTTACGCAAAAGTTTCGACCCGGGTGATCAAACCATCAAAAATGATTAGTTGCAAAAATTAAGAGCTTCAAACAAAAAAGTCATTAGTAGTTCGAATTTTGCAACCACAATATAAAAGGATCCATAGTGCCGGCATCGATTTCTCAAGTAGATGAACGTCTAACTCTAAAGGACTTATTGACCTTGACTTTGACAAGATAAAAGAGATATTTCTTGTGAGGAAAAACATGAGAAAAACCATAACGTAAATTAACAAGTTATAGAACATTTTCGTTCTTTCATTTCTTTTTCTTCAGCTGAGAACAAGAGGAGTTAACATATGTGGCCTGCCTACCTTGCTAATCTTCCTCTCTTGGCACTGCTCTGCCACCTGATTGGCCAGTCTGTACACCGCCATGGCAGACTCAGCGATCAACTTGGCTGTCTCTATCAAATCGAACTTGGCTCCCTCTTCGCCCCTGCAAGATGAAACAAAACTGACATGATAATTATGACTAAACACCGAGATCAAGTTACACTTCGCGTATGCACGTGAAACAAAACTGATTAAATGGTTATTCAATTAAAAAATAGACTTATTAAACTAATACACTTGTTTTCAAAAATAATCAGAGAAGTAATTGTTCCGACTATTGAAAAAAGGGAGGAACTTTGTATTCGGGGTGTGTTTTAGTTGTTTCTTTTTGTTTTCCACGCAAAATCATTTGCTACAAATAATCATCGGAATGGGTCGAGTGATGTATCATATTAAAGCATTTTCACTCGTGATTCGAACGAAATTAAACAAATTTTGAAAATTTTTGCGAAATGTTGAGGAAAACGGGTTTGAAATTTTTGATTTTTGGTCTTATTTCGAACTAAAAAGTTGACGGTGTTATAATAGCTCATTTGAGCCGTGAAAGTTGGGTTATACTCAAGTATAGATAGTTTTTGGATTTTTAAAGCAATTTGTTTTTAGCAATTTTGGGAATCAAAAACTTGAAAATCAAATTTTTGAAATTTTTTTGTCCGTTTTTCTGGTCAGTTTACTTCAAAAATGGTTTTCAAATTGACCCCTTTTACTATGACTCTCAAGTATGCCTACGTCCTATTTTTTCGTTTTATCACAACATACAACAGATCTTTTTATCACAACATGCAGAAAAAACGATACCAATTTGAAAAAAAAAAAAAACATTTTTTTTTTGTATTTTTAAGAATGTGGTCGGAACATTCTGGGCTATTCAACCGGCTATCCTTTTTACAATGTACATTCTGACATAAGGTGGGTGGGTGCCCTCGTGAGAGGGCATGCACTTTTACAGATACAGTATAGTTGACCACAGACAGAAAAAAGTACACCACATACAGAAAAAAAACCAACGATAGCCGGTTGCTGTACAGAATGTTCCGACCACAAAATTAAAAAACTAAAAACTCAGTTACTATTTTTCTCATTTTTTTGTCTGAAAACAAATAGAACAACGAAAAAAACTCACTAAAACTTTACTTTCTAGAATTTTACGGAAAATTTTTTGGATTTTAAAAATTTTTTTTCAGAAAGAACTTAAAATAATTTTAGTTGAGTAAAACTAAATTTTCACGGTCTAACTTGAATTTTAACAATTAGACTATTACAAAGCCTATAATATAAAATATCTACTCGCTCGCTCTACTCGCTCGAAATTAGTCTAGAACTCAAAAACTTCGAAGCGGCTTTGTCGAAACAAGGAAAAATTTTTATGTCGTTAAGACTGAAAGGGGTTTAATATGATAAATCAAGCTACCCTTTCCAACGATTATTTGTGACACCTGATTTTCCGAAGGAAAAAGATACAAAAAAACTAAAACACACCCGAACACAAAGGTTTCTTCCCATTTTCAAAACTCGGTACAACTAATAGTTAAAAAACCTGATAAAATGTTTTGTTAAAAACCTTGCTAGATGAAATTTCGAGATAAAAAAGGAGACTCAATAGAAATTTGCTGATTTAAAACAGTCACTTTGCTGCTTCATAAGTATATTTTTTCATTTCTGCTATCTGAACTTTGACACGACGATTAAGTTGCTCTTCGCAAACAGAAACAAAGACGAGTGAAACAATTCTCTAATTTTTATTTAAAAAAACTATAACTTCAATGCACGCAATAAAACTAGCGTTTCAAAAAGTATACACGTAGAGGGATCAATTTCACAGCTTGCTGCTGTGAATGCAAACACTTCTAAATGCCAGTAGACCATAATTAACCATATGAGAGAAAATTGGGTCAATAGACAACTTTTTTTATTCAACAAAGAATTCTGGAAATTAAAATAAGCTTTCAAATCTAAAAGATAAAAAATTTTCGCGCAAAATGTTTACAAAACTGTTTTTAAACAAAAAAATGTTGTGTTTTAAATAGTAAAAACAACAATGTTTGTCTATCAAATAAAATTAAATTAATTTATACTAAAACTTGGAGATATACCCTTGTTAAAATTTGTTGGGCAACGTAAGAGGCTCACTTTGATATAATTATGTCAGTGATTGACTTGGCAGTTTTGGCGTAATTTTTGGCTGACTAAAAAGCCAGAAATGATCCGTTTTTGGGTTAAAATTTTGGCCCGAATTTTGCAAAACAAATAGAACCATATTAATTCTGCTGAAATTCTATGCAAGTCTTGTCTTCATCAGTTTTCAGCTGAACTCGATAGCCCCAAATTGAGAAAAACGCGTTTTAAAATTCAAGTTAAAGGCATTTTGTCCGGATAACTTAAATTAGCACAATAAATAAGAGTAAGTATTACGTTCATGACTCTTAAACAAATATTTGATTGCCGTAGACTAAGACAAGACCAAAACAGAAAATTAGAAAAGAGCCAATGAACGCAAGTAGAAAAAACCTTCAAAAGAACTTCAAAGAAAAAAGAACAAATTATGATTGATACTTTTTTGATGAAATCAACCCAATTTGAGAAACCTAGATCAATAAGTAAATTTTTATTTCGCTGAAAAAGCTGAAAAGTAAATTCCACTTTCGAAACCAGAAAATGATCACATTTTTATGTTCTTTAATTTTTGCTGTTCGATAGCGAAGTTTGCCTTCCTTTTGACAGAGAAAATGAACTGATCTTAAAAAGAAATCAAAATTCAAACCGCGAAAAAGTAAAAATGAGCCTGTTAAATAGAACGTTAAATAACTTTTCCAAGAAAAAAAAAACAAAAAAATCATCACGATCTTTATAAGAGTCATCGACTCTTAAAAATCAGATGTTTTGACTACCATAACGTGCACTAGTTATCATAAATTGGCAAATTCTAAAAACCCATATCTTTGAAAAAGTGAACTCGTAAAAAGCCAAGCGTTTACGTGAGTAATTGTTTATAATTAGATTTCTCAGAAATTTGTCACATCGGCTTCAACTGTCAAATTCTAAACTCTAAGCTCCACTTTGAAACTTCTTGCTCTATCCAGATTCTTTAAGCTCTGCTACAAGCAGAATTCAACTATATCTGCTTCGAGATTTCAAAGCATCAACAAGAATTAGAGACCGCTGATTGGCTAATGATTTTCTGCTTATTTCAACAGCTGACATCAGGTATTTCTCATAGAAAAAGCTGCACTTCACAAACGCAAACAAAAAAACAAAAGAGAGCTGAGCTATAAAAACCAAAAAAAAAATACAAAAACAACCAAATAAACTTGAAAAAAGTTGAGCCAGGCAAAAAACTTGTGCGAGTCAGGTTGGACAAAAATGAACTCTAACAAGACTGCTCGTATCAGGGCGAAGCCCTGAATGTTCCGACTGCCTTTTAAGGTTTATGGAGCAGTAATAATATTAAAAAATTCAATGAAATAAAACAAAATGAAAAAAAAAATTTTTTCTAAAATTTGAAGTTTTTCATGAAAATCATCACCCCACACGCCATATAAAGTACAAAAGGATAAATTTCGCTCCTTGTAACAAACCAATTATGCCAAATAAGCTTCTTTTAACCAATTTGGAACGATTTCTAAGACGGATTAACTCTCCGTTTACGCCTTAATAGCGCGAAATAAATCGCGCGTTAATTGTCCCAAATTGGCCAAAATGGCAATCTTTAAACCCCCGTAACTTTACGAAAAATGATCACAGGTGAAATATCTTTTCAAATTTGAGCTCAGGACAACAATACCTTCCGAATGATATCAAAATTCCGTCAAAAATGGCTAGTTAAAAAGTCGAAATTTGTCTGAAGAAAAAAAACCCACCCCGAGCACAAATATTCCGTTACTTTCGTATCGAAAGTCGGAACAATAATAGAGACAACAAGCGCAGTAAATAAGGGGCACTTGAAACTATAAATTTAAATAATTATGGCTCTTTCCTTTCCACCCATTTCACATAACTATCAATTTTATGGTGTAGCGAGGAGTTTTACAAGGTTAAGTATGAAGACTTAATACGTTTGCCATGGCCGAATTTATCTGCATGCCAAATTTAGTAACCATCGAACAATGTGAACAGATAGTTGCTTGTAAAAGATCGCAGGTGGGAGGCAACGAAAAAGAGTCATAAGGTTAAACTTGAAAATTAATTTTACACTAAAATTTTCATGCTTTTCTTATTAAAAAGCCAGAACAACAATCTCACCTCACAATCCTGGACATCTTGGCCATCAACACTGCCATCCTCTTAGCCGATGTAATGATGTCATTGCCCTGACTCTGCCACTGTCTCACTTCCATGTGCAGCTCATGGGCCGCCTTCTGGATGGGTCTGTGCTCCTCTGGCAGGGGAGCCTCCACAATCTCTTCCTCCTCCTCCTCCTCTTCTAACACTGGACTGGGGGGACGGAGGGGCACTTTGGTGTACACTGGAAACGTATAACTGTGATTTACTCAATAATACTTCCCACTTTTATGGAATGAGGAAAAAAGAATTTTATTTAGCATTCATGAGTCGAGTTTCTTTGACAATGATCTCGAGAAACTCAAATCGATTTTTTCTATACGTATGTTCTCAAAAGTTATCTTAATCCTTATTACAAAAAGTTTCAAGCAAAATCAATATCCTTACCCCTCTTTGCATGCAGCATTTATAATTAAATCTAGAGCACGCAACTTCTGAACAGCTTTGCTACTTCATACATCCTCTAATCGAGCTATATCTATCAATAGCTACGAAAAGACATTGTTGGACAGATTTTGAACATAGAAAAGGTCAGGTGAAACATTAACATATAAGGTAAAGGTCGTGAATCTTTTCACTTATTCAGCCCAAAAGGACCACTATTAGTACTACCATTAGGAATAAAAAGCAAAACTCAAACAATACTTCAGTTATCATTTTGATTTCAACTAATGGGGTGCGTGTATTTCTATTTCCTGTTTTCATATTCCATTATGGGTAATTGTGGGCCGAATAAGTTCAAAAGAATCAAGGTTGTGACCTCCAGTAGAAGGTGGTGGGGGTCTTTCAGGCACTTCGTCTTCATCCTCTCCATCCTCTTGGCCATTTGCTTCACTCTCATTGGCCAGTTGCTTCTGCTGTTGTCTCATTTTGAGAGGGGAGATGAAATAGTAGAGGGATGAAGTATAGAATTCGTCTAAATGCAACAGTAGGGCAGGAGATGCAATGCATACACACATTAAATAGATATAGAAGCTCTGATTACCCGTTATCAGCTTTTGCCACAAGGCCTATAGACCGAAAGGAAAGACTAAAAAGCTAATATTTTCAAGGTACCAGAGTGCCAACTAAACTTCAATACTTTCGTTTTCATTGATTTCAAAACTTATAAGGGTCGGTTTGCTAAGCAACTAAGAGGAAACGAACATATATAATTAAAGATTGAAATGATAGACATTTATTGACCTTTTCTCTAGGAAATGAATACAGTTAAGTAAGGTAAGCGAGGGTCGATAATTATGGATCATCTTTCTATGTAAACACAGGCTCCGACATACAATCTCTGTTTGATCGGATACCTGAAATCCTTAACCTCTTTGCTATTCGACACACATCAACCGCATCAAATAATTCATCACTTAAATTGATGTATCATGCAAGTGAGCTTTGTACAATTTACGAAGTTGGGTCCATGAAATATAGACGCATCGCTACAGAAAACTTTTATATTTTTAATTTTAAAAGCATACATTTGGTATGCATATGTCAACGTCTGTTTCTGAAGTTATCACAAAAGACGCGGTACCCATCTTTCATACCTGCTTTTTCCAGGACCCAACTATCATAATTGTTCCGTGAGGGGCTCCTACGTTGAATCACAGTTTATGATAGAGTTTACTCATAATAACTACTCCACTTACCGTTTCCGCTCTGCACGGGAACTATGCGAGGTCCATAGTACTGTTTCAATAACTCCTTGATCGCATTCACAACGTCCAATACCTGAAAAAGTACGCAATTATCTGTAAGCTGTGACCATGCTTCAAGTGAGCTCCTACAAAAATATGGAGTCAGCATAGAATCAAAGCTGGACTTCGCAAACAAAAGCAAAAACTGGAAAAAGTAGCATTTAAATTTTGAATCGAAAAACTGATTGAATACGCTTGGAAAATGAAAACAATCGGTCTCCTACGGATTCGAACCTCCAACGTTCAGATTTCGAGTCAATTATTTTGAAAAGTTCGGCGCCAAACACCACTAAAGCCAATAAAACAGAGTAATTATTTATTCGAGTTAGACTGGAAAAAAAAAGAAAAAAAAGAGTATATATTCAAAAAATTGCACTCTGTTGCAGGAGTGAAACAACTTGAATCTGTTAGAGATTGAACGAAACATCTCCATCTCAAAATTAGAGGGCAAAGGTTCTGCTATTGCACAAAACATCAAAAGAGTACCTCGTGTGAGTAACCTCGTATTTTTTATCAATAACAAAATCTGTAAAAGCGAGATCCAGTCACACTTTGGTTCATCTGAACACAAAGTTTGAACACGAAACAAAAGATTCATAGAGATCCCATCATTCATTTCCTGGGATAGTTGAAAAATCACTTTTCCAATTAAATCAACAAACTAAAACAACGTGCTGATATTTTGGTAGTTAAAAAATCTAATAAGTGCTTCATGAAACAAATCTATTCGAGTACAAAAACAAAAAAAATGATAACGTCCTGAAGTTGAATTGATTTGAAAACTGCAGACACAATTTGCGTACTTTTCTTATAAATCAACGTCTGGGAAAAACTTAAAATATAAGCAACTCAGATGCAAGGTCAAATGGGCAAACAAAATGAGCAAACAAAAAGAATTAATGATGATGATTTGAAAGAGAGATTATAATGGGCTTTTAATCGATGATGATATATTTTTCTTCAAATTTGGTCAGACTGGTACTAAAATCATAATTTAATCGCTTATTAACTCGTGAAACTGGATGGGGGACCCCCATCTTCATCACAAAGTTGGAAGATAAGGGTTCTGAATTTACACAAAACATCATAAGATTACCTCGTGTGAGTTGTGGTGGAAGTCCAAAGTGGTCTGCCTATTCTTGGGATCCCTCGCAAACTTCGTCGCTAGAGACACAAAGGGCTGTACCTCTGAAACAATCATAACATCACTACTTCATTATTCCTTTTTTTTCGATACAAAATTGTCTACTCGAAATTTTAGAAAAAAATACACTTTTTTCGTGTGCAATGACCAATCAAGAACAAAAAAAGTATATCCATTGGTTCGAAATACGCGTTCGAACTGCATGCTCAAAAATTGAAATTGTGCTCATTTAATTTTACACTCGTTGTCACTAAATATTTGCATGTCAGTAACTTACGTCCTTTGAGACTGGCACAGTATTCTGCCAATTTCACCCTCACCCATTCTTCGTCTAGCTGCACTCCTTGTGCCTCACACACCTGAGCCACTCTGTGTATGCAGCTGATCAAAGTGGTTGAATGAACCACAAACGCCTTCTGGTCTTCATTTTGGAGAGAGAGGAGACAGTTTTTGAGAAGATCTTCTAAGGTCAACTCTAAAAGAAATAGGGAGAAGGAATTCATAAAACCAAATTAAGCCTTCGTTAAACACAGAGGCGAAGCTGCGGAAAACATAAAAAAGACTCTAAACACTAGCCTCTTATCACTAAAGCAGCAAAAATTCAAGCAAAAAAAAAACAAAATTACTTCAATGTTCCAGATTTGAATCTCTAACATGATAATTAGGAGTGTCACTTCCGTCCTCGCATCTGCGCCACGATCACTTGGAAGTAAACTAGTGGCCCAGCTAAAGCTGGATGTACCTGTTTTAATACTTTTAATCATATATTGAACTGATAAGAAAACTCGTATTTTTCAATATTTCAAAACATGAAAACTTTACGCAAAACTCTAGTAAATTATTTGCTTAATTAGGAGATTAGCTGCTTATTAAAAGAAGAAAACTACAACTCGCTCTCGCTTTTTCATTTGAACTCTTTATCTGAGATTTGGCTGGGCAGTTTTCGGAAAAAAAAAGAAAAAATGTTCCAAAAAAACGAACAAAAAATTTGCCTTTTTCTAAATTCATAAACTTTTCTCTACTTAAGCATGGGAATAAACTAACTCTTAATTAGGGAAGGTTTACATGCCCCGATTTTTAGATTGAACCCTCAATATCCAAATAAAGTAGTAGTTTTCGAGATAGTGATGAAACTTCTTTAAAAAACGGTAAAAATTTCAAAAAACGGATTTTCCCGAAGTCCATATCGGCTTTTCTTCACAAAAAAAAGGGTAAAACACATTGTTCAGGAAAAATCTAAGCACCATGTTAGTTTGAAAAACTGTCAACATCAAAACCAGCAGGTTAGTTTTTGACAAAAAAAGAAGTTTCAAAAAACGGGAAAAAATTCAAAAAATTCGGCATTGTCTGAGGCCATATATAATTTTTAAAACGCAGGGCATGGCCGTTTATGCAGGAAAAATTCATATAACTGATTTTTTTTTCGGCTAAACCACTGAGCTCCGATTTGGCGGAGTCGTTTTTGAGAAAAGTTTTTAAAATTAAGCAAAATGTCAAAAAATGGGCTTGTTTGAGGCCATAACTTTTTTCTACCGAATTTAGGGAACAACCGCTTGAGAAAAGCAGATCCCCATGATTGGTTATTTCAATTGAAACCTTCATCTCAGATTTGAGCATGTAGTATTTAAGAAAATGAAAAAATTCAACTTTCGAAGGCCGTTGAGGGTGGGGTAAAATGAAAAGAGACTAGCTAAGTATGCAGGCACATAGAAGAGCAGCTGGTGTGTCATTGGCACTATTTAATGGAAAACAGTACAATAGTTTTTGAGAAAAATTGAAATATCTGCGAAAAAAGGAAAAATTTTCCAAAGCGTCGCAAAAAAAAAACAACAAATCCCACGCATTTTTATATTACCTGTTTCTTCAAACAGGACCTAACTCTGGCCAAAAATAAAGCAACAAAATACGCTATTGAAGTGCCTCTGCTTAAATAGGCCTAAATATGATTAAATTGAAATATACCAAAAGTGTCAAATGAGCACTTTTATTTGCGACTTAGGTTAGAAAAAATATTCTTCGTAATAATACACTACGCTTGGCTTGTGTAAATATCAAACTTCATAAATTATTCTCAAAGTGGGGTCGGTTATGACAAAATCTATGACACGCCCACTTAAATCTCATCTTAATTATAATTTAGTTGAATACGTTTAAGCATTAAGTGAATATTTTAGGAAAGCATTAAAAGTCGAATATTTATTTCTTAAGCATTCATATTTAAAAAGGTCTGTTCTTGTTATTTACTCTTGGCGGATATTTTTAATAATTATCTGTTTTGATCTTGATTGACTGACAATAGAATAATATATATTCTGCTGAAATTCAGTTCTAATTTTTAGAGTGCAATAGGAAAAAAAATCACCTCACTAAATGGTTTTTTGTTCTCGCTAAAAGATTTATGAACAAAATCTAAAAACATATGGCACTCATATGAACGAAAATATATGGCACTTTTGAAAAAAGATAATATCCTAAGTTAATTTGTCTTTCGTAAATCATGTTTGGTAAAAATATATCATTACTTTTCTAATTACATTGTTCGGCACTCGTTTAGAAGTATGGTTCCGTTTAAAACCTTGTTTAGAAGTATAGTCCCGTAAAACCACCAATGGCCCAAAGTCAGAAAAAAGTTTTTAAAGTTTTGCCAGTGAATTGACTTTTTTTAAAATTGCATTTCAAAGAGATATTTAGTGGAAAAACCAGCGAAGAAATGTTCACAAGCTTTCCTTTTGTTTTCATCCATTTGAAGTACTCTTTGTATAGTTCAATTTCCTGGCGGGAGCATACTTCTAAACAAGTACCCCACTCTGAAAATTAAAAACGTGTAGTGAAGCGTATTATTAAACTACTACATACCGGATGCCTCAATGAACAGTTCCAAATCGATAGTTGAGTCAATGTATGCCAGCAGCTGGTCCATGTTGTCCACCCAGAGGGTCTGCAGATCCACCAACTGTTTCACACTCTCTCCACTCCTCTCCTCCTCACTCTTGTCAGTTGAGAAACACAATTGGGCTGCTGCACTCAGAATTGGGATCAAGTCATTCAGCTGAAAATCACGGAGAATACTGTCACAGACGTTGACATAACCTCAACAACATCGGCCGGAAAATCTATTTGAAATTCTGATGGTGCTTTAAAATGTGAAACATGGAAAGAAAAAACACAGATAAGCCTTGAAAAATAAAATTTTCCCCATATACCGGAATTGAACCCCAACCTGTGGTATGGAAGAAAACACATAATGACAGCTTGACACAGGTTTTCAATTTCTCCTGCACCTCCGGGAGAAATACACACGATGTATGTGAAAAGTTCCATCATGGAATTTGCTTGATGAAATTTTATCTTACAAAAAAACACTAAAATTGTCAAGAAAAAACATAGCCAACACACAGTTGGAAAAAAGTAACGAATGCAATGAAATTAAACCGACTTGTTTTTTCAGAAACTTTTGAATTTCTAATAAAAATTAGATGGCCTAAACGCTCTTTGAATTTGTAGAACAATTTATGATGCACACTTTTTTAAAATAACCCAAATTGAGAAAGCTGGATCAAAAGGTAAGAATTTTATTTCGCTGGGAAATCTGATAATTAATTTCCATTTTCGAAATCAGAAGTCGATCACGTTTCTTGTGATTTTTATATTGTGCTGTTCGATAGTGGAGTCTACCTTCCTTTTAACATTAGAAATGCACTGAACTTAAAAAGAAATCACAAGTCAAACCGCGAAAAATCAAAATTGAGCGTGAAAAAATTCTAAGACTTTTTCCTGAAAAAAAAAAATCAGCAAGACCTATATACGAGTCTTCACTACGTTCATTACTCTTAATAAGCAGACGTTATACTGTTTCTGGTCTCTTAGAACCTTAATTTTGAAAAATAAAATAGAAAACCAACCGCTCATTTAATCGATGAGTCGGAACAACAAGAAAACGCTCTAATGTAGCCAAAAGTCAAATTAGATGAAACTAGCGCCAAAAGATTTCTCAATTATTTAAGTCTTAAGCATCAAACACAAGCGAACAAACGCCAAGAAGTAGCTTTGAAAGGGTCAGAAAAGAAAAAAAATAACTAGTTTTGAAAAATAAAGGATCTCTTCGGGAATTAATCTTCAATTCTCTGACATTCATGTTTTTCAGTCGGCTGCCCTACACAATTGTGCCACTAACGCCTATGGAAACCAAAGACATACGGCAAAAGAGAACCCTAAATTTCACAAAGACACAAATTTTGTATTTAAATATTTGGAATGTAATAGGCTAAATGCAATCACACTAACTTGGTATGTAGAAAATTAGAAAATTATTTTAGCTGTGCTTGTGTAAACAGCCTATTAGAGGTCACTGAACTACAGGTCACTGTTTGGAAAAAATAGCCAAAACTCGAAACTAAGTAGTGTTCTAACGAAATTTACCTTTGTTTCTTTTCCGCGTGAGGCAACAATTCTCAGACCAGAAAAAAAACACTCAAATTTTTGCCTTGTGAATAAATGATGTTGGTCTTCTCCCACCTGTTTGGCCTGTCTGGCCGTGTTCCTGAGAGTGTCCTGGTCCTCTGCCTCGTTCAGTTGGGCGAAGTGGGAGGCTGTGGCCACTGCCCTTCTGGCCATCTGCTGGAACTGGTCCAGTCTACCATCAAACTCCATCTCACTCCTACCACTGCTCCCAGTGTCCGCTAGTAGAAAACAAAGAAAAACATCTAATTTTTCCATCAAAATTACCTATTTGGATGAGCTTCTCGGATGAAATTGTATGTAATCTTAACTAGGGGCACAACAGGGGTTCTCCTTGACGAGCTGAACAGCGCTAAAGCGTGGTTCTTTTAATCGAGAAAAAATTGTTTTAAATGAAAATTGTGAACTAGATCGCTCTTTTTCCATTTCCTCATATGAGAATTAATTTTACGATGCAGCAGGTGGTTTTACAAGGTTCTATATGAACCTGAAATTTCTTGAAGTTCTACTGTTCTTGAAGCGAAACGTGGGGCATTTGGGTAGAACTTTATTCGATGACTCACGTGATAGAGATTGGGCTGACTGGACTAGTCTGTTGATGGTCGCATGGGGATCCACGAAGGTATCCACTACCTGAAAAAAAGCATTTAAAATTTAAAACCGTAAGTTGATAAATTTAGTCACGTAATTGACTGACAAACGAACATAAAGTAGTGTACAAGCAATAATTACTATTTCATTCGCTCACGTGCCTGAATAGCAGTACAAATGATATTCGAAATGAAATCCTCCAAATCTATTTGAGCACGGCGTTAAAAATAAAAAGGTCGAAAATGCAGCCAACGGGGTAGTTGAAGGAAGCACACCTGCTGTGAGAGTGAAGTCCTCATCTGCTGGATGACAGCTGCTATGCCAGAGTGCAACACACCCACTAAACGCACTCCCTCCTCGCTGTGGCCCTAAAAAGAGACAGTCTATTACTCGACATTACCCTCCATACTGTACACAACTTAGAATTTTCTAACTTTTACCAACTATGAAACCATTATGAAAGCAAGGACAATTGTTAGTGAGTTATTTTTATTGACTAAATTGCAGGTCGGCAAAAAACAATAACCCGTAACCCATAATTTTTCATTGACTTTCAAAACTATTGACATAGCACTAAAACAATTTGTTGGATAGATATAGCTCACTAATAATTGTAGTCCAATAATAATAGGAATAAATAGTGACTAGAAAATATAAACCTTTTTCTTTACGTTTATTGGAGACAACTGGGCTTGAAATCGGGATCGCTCGCACCCTAAGCGAGAATCATACCACTAAACCACTGTCCATGTATTTAGCTTCGATCCATTCCTACCTATTTTGAAAATCAAGATCATTGCGTTTTTGTAACAGTTTTTTTTGTTTTGATGAGTTTTTGTTGGTGTAATGATTATTTGAAGTTGTTTACTGTTAGATTTTTTTCTACAAAATATAATTTTTTTCTGTAAATTTTATAGGGGACAACCGGGGATTGATCCCGAGACCTCTCGGAACCTTAGCGAGAATCATACCACTAGACAACTTTCCCAAGCATTTTGGTTCGATTCATTCCTGCGTTTTTGCAAATCAAGATCATTGCGTTTTATAACCTTTATTCTTAGTTTTGATTCGTTTCTGTTGGTTTAAAAATTATTTTAAGTTGTTTACTGTTAGCTATTTTTTCTAATAGCAAATTTATTTTTTTTGTGTTAGTATTTTGGGGACAGCCGGGAATTAAACCCGGGCCCTCTCGCATCCAAAGCGAGAATCATACCACTAGACCATTGTCCCATGGTATTAGTTACGATGCATTCCTATATTTTCCACAAACCAAGTTTATCCTTTTTTATCCGTTTTTCTACGTATTAGTGAGTTTAATAGTTTTTTTCCAACTAGCTAGAAATTGTGATTTTTTCTGCTAGTTTAAATGAGAGATCCGCGGTATAAACACGGAACTTTACCGCTCTAATCGAGAATCATACCGCTAAACACTATCCCATGTTTTAAAAGAATGTTTAGTTTTTTTTTCGTTTTAGTGAGTTTAGCATGGGAGATAGCTGTCACTCGCATTTAAATATAGTATAGATAGATAGATAGATATAGATTAGTAATAATTTAGTAACATTGAACCTGATGATTATTAGCCAGTTTGACTAGACGCTGCATAGGCTCCCTCAAACCGCTGCACTTGGACTTCAAAACACTTTGTTCGTCTCCTCCCAGATGTCTGGCATAGTTCCAGCCCAACTTCACAATCGCATCCAGAGATTGCGATCCTAGAATATGGAACTGCATTTAATTTTAGTTCAGGCTCAACGAAGCTAGATTAACAGACTCAATGATCTGACAGGACAGTCAACTCTCATTTGATAGTTTCCGGGAAAAATAACTGATTTGTGAAATCGCCTGTTATACATTTCTTTGAATAAAGCATTCAGCAAGAATAGTATTGCCTTTCAAAACCAAGCTTAAAAACAAAATGCATAAAATATTTTGGTTCTAACATAATTTGGTTTTAATATTATAGACATTTGTCAAATTTAAACAAAAAAAAGTTGATTCTTGGCAAAAAAAAATTAAGCTGATTCTTGGCAAAAAAAAAATTTAAGTTGATTCTTGGCGAAAAAAAAATTAAGTTGATTCTTGGCAAAAAAGTTGATATCTCAACAGAATTATTTTAAAGTCGAGTGTGAATAAAACGATGAATCGAAAACTAACCGAAAATGAGAAGATTATAATAGCCAGCGGAAATTACTTCATTTGTTTGGAAATATTACATAAACATTCGACTGGTCTAGTGTTTTCGGCCGGTTTATATTTAGTTCTGGCTAAAAAGTGTAGCCAAATGTTGCACCGCAGATTGTTTCATAGAAGCCATAGAATATTACCGACATAAAAACATCTGTCAATGTCTATTCTGCAATTTAATCAATTCAGCACCAATTTAATCAATTAAAATAGAAGCGCCGAGCGAGTAAATTCTATTCTCTGCGCTGTCAAAAACAGAAGGAGTGTACTCAGTAGTGAATTTAGGGGGGTGTTGATTTTTTCTAAACACGCCTTTGCTAATATATACTTATTTTAAACGGAGCGCGCGCTGAAAAAAGGGTCAAATTTTTTCAAACAATGACTTAAAACTAAAAACGCATTTTTTGACCTGCTTTTTCTTCTGTGGCACAGAAAACCTATATGGCGATTTTTTGAAAATTCGATAGATTTTGAAATTTACTTTGAAAATCCGCCCTCCCCCTTGAGAAAATCTTAGATCCGCTCCTACTAGTGACATTTACGGCAACTGTTGTCGCTCGAGGGGTCCAACGTTTGAATGCAGCAACACTGGACCCAATAAATTCTACTTACCACTGTCCGCATTCACATCTGGATTCTCCAGCCACGTCTTCACTTCGTCCAGCAGACCATACATTGTACTGGGCAGGGGGTGCAGTCTCCCTTCGGATGAGGTCACGTGTTGGAGACATGCGTCGTCACATTGCTCAATTAGTTGATCCAGGGAGTTGAGCAACACTTGTTGCAGTTGGCGGGCTTCGGGGGAGGAGGCCTTCAAAATCAGAGGGAAATGTCACGAGGAAAGTCTTGAAAATCAACTTCAATTATTGTTTTTAACTGTGATTTTACAAAAAAAAATCATTTCCAACTTTTGTGTAAGAAAATCATTTCCATGTCGGATCTCTGAGGATTTCCATATCCACTTTCATATGTTAATGCTGACTATGCTAGCCATCGTTAAGAGCTCGATTGAGACAGGTGATTGGACACAATTCTGACCGGGTAGGGCTGAAAAGTCAGAGGGTACGAAAACTCGGGCTCGGGTATATTTTGTATCCAATCATTGCTGACTACAATTTCAAAATTTCTATAGAGCAAAATTTGATATTTGAACTTAATTTATAATTCAATCAATTATCTTGAATTGAGAAACATAAGTGCTAATGCATTCCAGAAACACGACATGGAAATAATCTTGTTCATTTTGAATCACAACGTGTATATAAAAGCTGTTTCAATTTCCGCTTTGAATTTATTTTGTGAAAGATTGGTGGTTATTTTTTCATTCTAAATTAATTTTAAAATTGATAGTTAGTACTTTTAAACGAAAATGGACATTTTTGCGTTTTAACTAGCAAAAACGAGAGCATACCCCATTGATTTCGATTATCACAGCCATTGAAACTTCAACCAATCATACGCTGCATATTCATTAATTTCAAAAAAGTCGACTTTGAATCGATTGACATAAAAAATTTGCAGTCAAAATTGTACAATGAATCTTAATTTGATCAATCAAATTTTTCAAAAATTTCAAAACTGAACCATTGAATTTTTGAAATAAATTAATGAAAATTCTTATCACTGAAAAGCCCAACTGATTAAATTGACGATGTATAATTTCGGGCTTACTGACACCGAGAAGTACCATCAAAACGTTATACCTCATAATCGTCACAGTTCGTTTATATAGAAATAATATTAAAAATCAAACAATAAAAATATTCATCATAATTAAATTATGAAGATTTGATTTTCATCTAGATACAAACAAATACCTGGTAGTTAACCAACCTGTCCCTTCTTCCTCAGTTCGGACAACTGAGCCGCAGTCTGGTCCACAATGTCACACTTGCTCCTGATCCTGTCCGCCCCCTCCCCGTCCCCCGTCACTTTCTCAATCACATCCGACAGACACTTAGCCTCGTAGAGCAGGTTGTCCATGAACAGGAAACCTAAAGCAATTTCATTATTGCACGCATGTTATAAATAAATTTGTTTTCAAGCTATGAGCGCTACAAAAATGCATATAAATTAACATTTGAAGAACAGCAGCTTGAGCGGATACTGAAGGCTCTCCAGCCTGTTAATTACACGCATGTTCAAGTATAACTGCTAACTTTTTAAAAGTGTACCTAATTTCGGAGTATTTTTCAGTGAAATGACTGAGTTTGCAATCTTGAGTATAGTTGTGTTTCTCAGCTTTTAAACGCGTCCAATTCCTACATCGTAACAGTTTCATCGTAAAGCGTTAAATATAGAGCGTCAATTTTGGAAGCAAAATGTCCTGAATTATTTTAAAAAAATTTAGAATTTGGCACAGATTTTCACTTTTGAGATACTATAAAACTCATCGTTATAAACAATTTTGGTAGTTTTAAGTACTAAGGAGTCTGAAAAAAGACATTACCTGATGCAAAAAAAAATTAGTTGAACACATCTGTAAAGTCAAAGCATAATGAAAATATTAGAAGCCGCAAAGTAGCCAAAAAGCTAAGGGCTGATTCATTTTTGTAATTTGATTCTTAACTACTGCAGGGCTTCTATTAGAAAAACTCTCAGTGAAAATTGCTGATTTGTATGAAAAAATAACACAGTCTGGTGCTGAGAATGGTTATAAATTCAGGTTTAGAGAAGTCAAATTCATTAATTGTCTAGAAGTTTTTTAAAATTTATCTAAAAAAGAAGAGTTTATATGTTTCAAGATAAGCCACCAAAAACAAGTTGCGCTTCCAGATTTAACCGGTCAATGTCTCACCGAGGTGCCAACCATTACACCATGAGACCTGTTGAAACGATTTACCACAGTAGTAACAATTTCTACTGTACAAAAACAGTTTCATCGTAAAGCGTTAAATATAAAGCGTCAATTTTGGAAGCAAAATGTCCGGAATTCTTTTTTTTGAAGTTAGAATTTGGCACAGATTTTCACTTTTGTGATACTATAAAACGCAACGTCAAAAACACTTTTTGAAGTTTTAGGTACACAGGATTCTAAAAAATGACATTACCTGAAGCAAAAAAATTTATTTGAACACGTCTGTAGAGTCAAGGCATAATGAAATATGAGAAGCCGCAATTAGCCAATAACCTAAGAGCTGTTTCATCGTCGAAAGTTGATTCATACCTACAGCAGGGCTTACTATCGGAAAAACTCATACTAAAAAAACTACCTGATTTATATCTAAACAATAACACAGACTGGTGCTGAGGATGGCTATAAAATCAGTTTTAGGGAATTCAAACTCATTAGTCGTCTAAAAAAAGTTTTAATTAAAACAAAAGAAGAATTCAAATGTTTTAAGACTAGCCACCAAAAATCAGTTGCGATTCGAGATTTAAACGATTAAGGTCTCATCGAGATTTCAACTCGGATCTTTGGATTCAAAGTATAAGGTGCTAACCTTTACACCATGAAACCTGTAACAAACGCTTGACACAGCAGTAACAATTCCTAGTGTAGAAAAACAGTTTCATCGTAAGGCTTTAAAAATAAAGCGTCAATTTTGGAAGCAAAATGTCTGGAATTTTTTTTTTAATTTAGAATTTGGCACAGATTTTCACTTTTGTGATACTATAAAACTCATCGTTATAAACAACTTTTGTAGTTTTAAGTACTCAGGATTCTGAAAAATGACATTACCTGATGCAAAAAAAATAGTTGAACACATCTATAAAATCAAGGCATAATCAAAAGATCAGAGGGCGCAAATAGCCAAAAACCTAAGGGCTGATTCATTTTCGAAATTTGATTCTTAACTACTGCAAGGCTTCTATCGGAAAAACTCATAGTAAAATTTACTGATTTGTATGAAAAAAATAACACAGTCTGGTGCTGAGGATGATTAAAAATTCAGGTTTCGAGAAGACAAATTCTTTAATCGTCTAACAAAATTTTAAATTTAATTCAAAAAAGAAGAATTTATGTTTCAAGATTAGCCACCAAAAACAAGTTGCGATTTCAGATTAAACCGATCAAGGTCTCGCCGACACTTGAACTCGGATCCTTGGATTCAAAGTCCAAGGTGCAACCATTACATCACCAGACCTGTTATAAACGGTTACCACAGCAGTAACAATTCCTACTGTACAAAAACAGTTTCATCGTAAAGCGTTAAATATAAAGCGTCAATTTTGGAAGCAAAATGTCCGGAATTCTTTTTTTTGAAGTTAGAATTTGGCACAGATTTTCACTTTTGTGATACTATAAAACTCAACGTCAAAAACACTTTTTGTAGTTTTAGGTACACAGGATTCTAAAAAATGACATTACCTGAAGCAAAAAAATTTATTTGAACACATCTGTAGAGTCAAGGCATAATGAAATATGAGAAGCCGCAATTAGCCAATAACCTAAGAGCTGTTTCATCGTCGAAAGTTGATTCATACCTACAGCAGGGCTTACTATCGGAAAAACTCATACTAAAAAAACTACCTGATTTATATCTAAACAATAACACAGACTGGTGCTGAGGATGGCTATAAAATCAGTTTTAGGGAATTCAAACTCATTAGTCGTCTAAAAAAAGTTTTAATTAAAACAAAAGAAGAATTCAAATGTTTTAAGACTAGCCACCAAAAATCAGTTGCGATTCGAGATTTAAACGATTAAGGTCCCATCGAGATTTCAACTCGGATCTTTGGATTCAAAGTATAAGGTGCTAACCTTTACACCATGAAACCTGTAACAAACGCTTGACACAGCAGTAACAATTCCTAGTGTAGAAAAACAGTTTCATCGTAAAGCTTTAAAAATAAAGCTTCAATTTTGGAAGCAAAATGTCTGGAATTTTATTTTAATTTAGAATTTGGCACAGATTTTCACTTTTGTGATACTATAAAACTCATCGTTATAAACAACTTTTGTAGTTTTAAGTACTCAGGATTCTGAAAAATGACATTACCTGATGCAAAAAAAATAGTTGAACACATCTATAAAATCAAGGCATAATCAGAAGATCAGAGGGCGCAAATAGCCAAAAACCTAAGGGCTGATTCATTTTCGAAATTTGATTCTTAACTACTGCAAGGCTTCTATCGGAAAAACTCATAGTAAAATTTACTGATTTGTATGAAAAAAATAACACAGTCTGGTGCTGAGGATGATTAAAAATTCAGGTTTCGAGAAGACAAATTCTTTAACCGTCTAACAAAATTTTAAATTTAATTCAAAAAAGAAGAATTTATGTTTCAAGATTAGCCACCAAAAACAAGTTGCGATTTCAGATTAAACCGATCAAGGTCTCGCCGACACTTGAACTCGGATCCTTGGATTCAAAGTCCAAGGTGCAACCATTACATCACCAGACCTGTTATAAACGGTTACCACAGCAGTAACAATTCCTACTGTACAAAAACAGTTTCATCGTGAAGCGTCAAACATAAAGCGTCAATCTTGGAAGCAAAATGTCCTGAATTCTCTTTTTTTAAATTTAGAATTTGACTTACAGAATTTCACTTTTGTGATACTATAAAACTCATCGTCAAAAACAATTTTTGTAGTTTTAGGTACTCAAGATTCTAAAAAATGACATTCTAAAAAGCAAAAAAATTTATTTGAACACATCTGTAAAATCAAGGCATAATGAAAATATGAGAAGCCGCAGTTAGCCACTAACCTAAGGGCTTTTTCATCGTCGAAAGTTGATTCTTACCTACAGCAGAGCTTGCTATCGGAAAAACTCATATTAAAAAAGCTACCTGATTTAAATCTAAACATTAACACAGACTGGTACTGAGGATGGTTATAAAATCAAATTTAGGGAAGTCAAACTCATTAGTCGTCTAAAAATTTTTTAATTAAAAAAAAGAATTCAAATGTTTTAAGGTTAGCCACCAAAAATAAGTCGAAATTCCAGATTTAATCAATTAAGGTCATACAGACCAACCGAAACTTGAACCCGGATCTTTGGATCCATTGTCAAGGTGCTAACCATTACGCCATGAAACCTGTTACAAACGCTGAACACAGCAGTAACAATTCCTACTGTACAAAAACAGTTTCATCGTAAAGCGTCAAAAATGAAGCGTTAATTTTGGAAGCAAAATTTTCGGAACTTGTTTTTAAAATTTAGAATTTGGCACAGATTTTCGCTTTAGCGATACTATAAAACTCATCGTTAAAAACAATTTTTGTAGTTTTAAAAACTCAAGATTCTAAGAAACGATATTACCTGAAGCAAAAAAAATTAGTTGAGCACATCTGTAAAATCAAGGCACATTGAAAATATGAGAAGCCGCAATTAGCCAATAACCTACGGGCTGTTTCATCGTCGAAAATTGATTCTTACCTACAGCAGGGCTTACTATCAGAAAAACTCAAACTAAAAAAACTACCTGATTTATACCTAAACAATAACACAGACTGGTGCTGAGGATGGTTATAAAATCAGTTTTAGGGAATTCAAACTCATTAGTCGTCTAAAAAAAAATTAAATTTAAAAAAAAGAAGAATTCAAATGTTTTAAGACTAGCCACCAAAAATCAGTTGCGATTCGAGATTTAAACGATTAAGGTCTCACCGAGATTTCAACTCGGATCTTTGGATTCAAAGTCCAAGGTGCTAATCTTTACACCATGAAACCTGTAACAAACGCTTGACACAGCAGTAACAATTCCTACTGTACAAAAATAGTTTCATCGTAAAGCGTTAAATATAAAGCGTCAATTTTGGAAGCAAAATGTCCGGAATTTAATTTTTTAATTTAGAATTTAGCACAGATTTTCACTTTTGTGATACTATAAAACTCATCGTTATAAACCATTTTTGTAATTTGAAGTACTCAGGAGTCTCAAAAATGACATAAACTGATGCAAAAAAAAATTAGTTGAACACATCTGCAAAATCAAAGCATAAGGAAAATATGAGAAGCCGCAAAGTAGCCAAAAAGCTAAGGGTTGATTCATTTTCGAAATTTGATTCTTAACTTCTGCAGGGCTTCTATCGGAAAAACTC